TGGCTACGGGCCTGTATATATATATATATAATATATAATAAATAGGTAGATCCATTGTCTGTGATATTGATAAGCAATTAAGCATACAGGTGGTCCTTCCTATATCTAAATCCCACACACGTGCACATTTGCTCCAAGAATGTCTTGTTAGACTATCATAGTGAATCTGGAATCGTGGACGCTGCTGTATTCATGAGGTTCATGATTGAAAAGATGAATTCATCACGATTGCATTTATATCACCTTTATCACAGCTCTGCGCGAAAGAACACGAATAGATATAAAATATTGTACATAGTGGGTACGTTAGGTTATACATCGACAGTATAATCTCTCAGAGCTCTCTCATGTGATTGTTTTCCCCTGATGTAATTTACATGTAAACGTATATAATATTTAATATTATTATGTAATATTAATATATTATTATTAAAATTATTAATATAATATTATATACGTATATATATATATATAATATATATATATATATAAGGACTATGTTTGCGATATATATAGACTATGGCATACTATGTTTGTTCATGGATTATATGTTAGACTATAGACTATAGACTAGTATAGGTTATAGATTATGTGTTGTACATATATATCTATGGTTTGTTACAAGCCGATGACTGTATTTATATACATTGTATTGCGTTGTATTTTCGTGTGTCGTGTCGTGTTATGTTGTGTAGTGTTGTGATGTACTGCTGCTGCTGCTGCTGCTGCTGTTGTTGATGGTGGTGGTGGTGGTGGTGCTGTTACTTAACTGCTAGCTACTACTACTACTACTACTACTACTAATACCGCTGCTGCTGATGGTTGTGGCGGTCCTGGTGCTGGCGGGAAAATTGGAAGATGTTTTCGACAGAGCACCCGGGCAACGGCCCGGGGGAAGGGGGTCGGAAACCCCTGAGTGCAGTGTAGCCTGTCATATACACACGCACGCAGCAGGCACACGTACATATTACCGTACGTTGGCCTAGCGCGCCCATGCGACACACGGCCTATACAATACACGACAGCATATACAACACACCATAGCCTATATTATACACGAAAGCCTATAGAATGCATTGTATACATCTATACATGCGCTGTAAAGGCTGTATACAACAGCAGCAGTAGCAGCAACAGCAGTAGTAGTAGTAGTAGTAGTAGTAGTAGTAGTAGTAGCATCAGCACCATCAGCAGCAGCAGCAGCAGCAGCAGCAGCAGCAGCAACAACAATTTTCCCGCCACCACCACAACAGCCACCTCCACAACCATCAGCAGCAGCAGCAGCAGCAGCAGCAGCAACAGCAACAGCAGCAGCAACAAAAATTTTCCCG